CTTGTATGTAATAAACATAATAAAATGCAGGTAAACGGCAAGCCGACCAACATAACCGGGCGCGGGGGCCGGCGCCACGTCATCTCGTGGATGGACGCGCCCGACGACCTTGACCTCTACTTCCGGGCCACTGAGGCCGCCAAGTGAGTGTCCGTTATCGCACGACTTGTTTTTATGTATTAAGAACCAAGTGATGCTGAAGTAATTCCATTACCTTTTATGTTAGACTTTTACTTTTATTGTTATCAATAGCTTACACATTATGGTAATACCTATTGCTCATCATGCGACATCGACTTTGAATTAGTCATCAAAATTACACCAAGATGGTGTTTTTACATGGACATAATATTTTTCATTTAAAGTATATTTGTCGATAACCAATAATTCCACTTGACACTGGGCACTTACCTTACCAAATAATGAATTGGAAGCTGTTTGTCAAAAACGCGTTTCTAGCCATCACTAGGGTGGTGTCATATAGACTAGAGATTCCATATGACACCACCGGTGGTGTGAAAAAGGAATGAAAGAAGCAGTACGACAATATGGAGCAATTAAAAAGCTATTTTTGTAACCGCCACCACTGATATTTACCCCAAAGAAGAGCTGTGTTGCTAAAAAAAATCCATGTAAGAGCACCTCAAAAGTAACTGGTGAAGAATGATTCGAGCTGTGCATTCGTTCCTCAGGGCCGCCCGGCGAACACTGAGCTGCGGCGAGCTGCGCCGCGGGGCCCGCGCGCCCTGGCGCCCGGTGCGCGGCGGCGCGGCGGCGGCGGGAGGCGGCGGCGGGAGCGGGCGCGGCGGCGGTAGCGGGCGCGGGCGCGGCGGCGGGCAAGGGCGCGGGCGCGGGCGCGCCGCCGCTGCAGCTGGTGATCCTGGACTGACAGCAGCCGGCGCGCACGCCGCACCCGCCGCACCCGTACACCATGGAGGCGCTGCTCGGCTGAGCGCCCCCGTACACACCGCCCGCCTCGGGCCGCGCTCGAGCGAGAACGAAGATTGTATTTTTGGTAATCGAATCGCCGAGGACGGATTCTGTAGATAATATTTTAAACTATATTGTTCTTATGTGGTTTGATCTGGCGTCGAGCAAAATAATGTATTTGATACATAAAACGATATGTAAGTCTATTTCATTCGGAGATTCATTGTAGGATAATTTACAATTTTTTTCATAAATAAAGCACAAATTGAAATATTGTTTCGTTTTATTTTTCCTGAATGATATAATAGTCAGGGCGTAAGCCGTCCTACTTTAACGCATCGTGTAAATAAATAAAAAATCGTTTATATGGGTAGAAATCATTTTTGGCCACTCTAAATTTTAACTACAATCTGTTCGGGTTATACAATCTGCGCACCTGGCGGCCGTGACGTCACATCGACACTGATACAAACGACGAGGCGGGAGGTGTGCGGTTAATTGGGAGGGAGAATCACATTCAACGAGTTGCGCAGTTACCTCGACTCGATAATACAACCCGAGACCTCGGTCTCGAGGTCGATCCGGTATACAATGTATAAAAAACTATAAAATATTTAAAGCAATTACAGTTATATTCTTATATTAAAATTTAATCTTAGTATTTTTTTCTCATATGATTTACATAAATACTTACTTTATACACTCGCGAGCAAAAGTATGGAATCACTTACATGAAGTTGTTTCCACGCGATCTTGTGTACTAACAAATTTGTTAGTAACTAAAAAAGTAGCACCATTTTAAAGATTAAACTTTTAACTTGAAATTGATACCAAATTCATTTAAATCACACCAGTATTTAAAAAGATATCCCGGCTGATGTAAAGAAGTAAGGAAAAAGACATGTATCAACTGTTTGATACGTCGCGAGTTGCGGCCTATTTACCCCCCATAAAAGCAAGTGTTTTCGGATTTTTGCTTTCACACGTTGATCCATACACATCTCCGCTTATTTTGACACTTTACCTGGGATTCTACACCTTCAGAAGCAGCACAAATCGTTGCACTATTGCAAGAAGGGCTCAGCCAGAGGGCTGTCGCACGTCAGCTCCACATAAGCCAGTCCTGGGTTTCGAAAGTTTTAAGACGCTTTCGGGAGACTGGTGGCTTTATCCCGAGACCAAGTTCTGAACATTGCCGGTGCACATCGCAGAGGGAAAACCGTTTTTTCATGTCAACTTCTCTACGAAATCGTCATTTGACTGGTATCGACGTCCAGCAAGAGCTCAGAAATGTTCGTAGGATAGCTGTTAGCGAGTGGACAGTTCGTCTAAGATATGAGCAATAAAATTTGACTCCAAAAAGGCCTGCCACAGGCTGGAAACTGACGGCAGGTCGCCGACAAGCACGCTTTCAATTAGCTCGCACTCGGAAGGCGAGTAATGGAGGCGAGTTTTGTTCTCCGATGAATGCAGACTGTTTTTGCAGTGCAGCAGTCGAAGAGGTCGGGTCTATAGACGGCCTGGGGAGCGATTTGTGCAGTCCTGGTTCGCTAAAACATTGGCTTATGGGGGTGGCTTGCTCGACTTCCCATCGAGATGTGTAGGAGCAAATTGAAAGCGTGCTTATCGCTGACCTGCCGTCAGTTTCAAGCCTGTGGTAGGCCTTTTTGGAGTCAAATTCTATTGTTTATATCTTAGACGAACTGTCCACTTGCTAACAGCTATCCTACGAACATTTCTGAGCTCTTGCTGGACGTCGATACCAGTCAAATGACGATTTCGTAGAGAAGTTGACATGAAAAAACGGTTTTCCCTCTGCGATGTGCACCGGCAATGTTCAGAACTTGGTCTCGGGATAAAGCCACCAGTCTCCCGAAAGCGTCTTAAAACTTTCGAAACCCAGGACTGGCTTATGTGGAGCTGACGTGCGACAGCCCTCTGGCTGAGCCCTTCTTGCAATAGTGCAACGATTTGTGCTGCTTCTGAAGGTGTAGAATCCCAGGTAAAGTGTCAAAATAAGCGGAGATGTGTATGGATCAACGTGTGAAAGCAAAAATCCGAAAACACTTGCTTTTATGGGGGGTAAATAGGCCGCAACTCGCGACGTATCAAACAGTTGATACATGTCTTTTTCCTTACTTCTTTACATCAGCCGGGATATCTTTTTAAACACTGGTGTGATTTAAATGAATTTGGTATCAATTTAAAGTTAAAAGTTTAATCTTTAAAATGGTGCTACTTTTTTTGTTATTAACAAATTGATTTGTACACAAGATCGCGTGGAAACAACTTCATGTAAGTGATTCCATACTTTTGCTCGCAAGTGTAGCTTGCATTCAAACTTTCAAAGTTAGTCATAACACTACGCAACTCCCATTATTTTCAAATTAATTTTGACATTAATCCATTACGGTATAGTTTACTAGCATAATATTAACTGCAGTTGGTAAGATATATTTGATATTGGTCAAAGCAAGTACAGTGACCACAAAAGGTGGATATACACTAGAGCATTTCTATCTATGTAATGTTCGTTACGTTCTAACGAATGCTCGGCATGATTACGAATAATAAAAAATATAAATGACATTTACTTCGTTCGTCCCTCTCGATCTGCGTCACCACCCGTGCTCGTGCAAAAGGCTCGACGAAATGTTTCAAATGTTACACCAATTAATCTACGTTTGGTTCGTGGGAGGCTAAGATGTTTTTATAGTATGTCATTGGTGAGAGGGTGATACACTAGAACATGTAACAGCAGCTTATTGTTTTGTTACAAGTTATATGCTCTAGTCTATACTCACCTTTAGTTAGATGTCCGATAAACATACGACGGTAACGGGTCCCGTGATGTTAGGCGCTGCTGCTGATGGTAAGTTATTATTGACAACGCCACTCTTGTATAGGAGTTTTGGGCTGACACTGTAGCTTTGTTGTCAACACAACAAGAAGATTACTGATGATGATCATAAGTTTCAAGCACACATTTCGGTTCGATGGTATCAGCTACTGGCATGGAACTATATGCCAACTGCAGTGTGTGATCTATAGTAGTTACCACCCATGTCAGACCCAGAGGTCGCAGGTTCAATTCTTAATGCGGGCTATATTTTTTGCTCGGTTTCAGCCTAGCTAGCTACCCTACCACCTTAGTAATGTACAGGGTGGAATTTTGTATAGTTAATAATTTATTGATCAGTGAATACGAACGAAGACGACACATTTACATCGTGTTGTCGAAACTGCATCCGATGCACAAACCTGACTACTTCAACCCCTCAGTAAAAGAATAGTTGTTGTTACCTAATGTTAACACTGAGTAATTAAAAAACTTGTGTAGTGACTGATTTCTGTGGCCTGATATTATAAGTAACGACGACATTCTCGCCTTTCAGTAATAATAATTATGATAATTAGCCCCGTGGCTTTACCGAGTTATTTATCGCATATACGGGATGTCTCAAAAAGTAGTGTCAAATTGAAGCCCAGAGGTAGAGCAATCACGGGCTAAGCCACCCGAAGGCCGAATGGCTCACCCCCATACATGTTGTGCGATTAATTTATTGATAGTTTTCGAGTTATGATTGTTAATTTCTGTGCTTGGACACTTTTTGGTCACTGACGCGAATAGATAAGGTACATGCCTGATTTTTTTATTATTCGATGAATAGGTACTAGGTCTAGCTGATTCAGAAGTATTTACATCCATAACAAGAATGTAAAATTAAAAATGTTAAGTTTTCGAGTTATCATTTTCTTTTACAACATTAAAAACGTTTTATAAAAATGATAACTCGAAAACTCAAGTCGCGGTGATTCGGGTAGCTCTCTATGATGCTCTAGCTCTGGGCTGGACGCCCTGTATAAACGTTATAAAAATGTAGCCTGTGTAATAAGTTATTCTGTTGTATAACAATAGATACTGTAAACTTTCATCAAAATACATTTTAGTATGTAGTTTTTGCCTGAAAAAGAGTATAACATTCGTACTAATCCAATAAGATTTATTTGCATTAAATCGCATAATCGAAATGGGTAAATTTTCCGGAATATACAAATAAAAGAAATAGTTTTAAAAAGTTATATTTATTCGAGTACATAACTACAATTCTTAATATAAATGGATAATATTAATAACTATTTTCCGCATGATAAATATAAGTGGATTTCAACACTTGCATACTCGTGTCACTTTTCGTAAAAGCGTTATCACATGCTTCGAAGATTGTGGTATTTGATTGCATAGAAAAATATTATCATAACAACAGTAAAACAACGTTGTGCTCGAGAGGAACCTCATTTTCATTTACACTTACTCTATGTTGTATAACAATAAGCAAGCATTCCATATACAACTTCAGACGCAGCAAATATTTTGCCGAATTTAAGTACAGCAAAATCCGTCTTAACGACGTGGAAGACAAAGCTTATCATACTAAAGCAAAAAAACTTGTTTTAAATCGTTTAGAACAAACTTGAAGCCAAATATTTTATCAATGCATAATGACAGATTAGTAAATCGTCACGATAACGATAAAAACAGGCATTATTGTTTAAACAGGCTATAATTAACGTCTCTCTTACACGTTGTGTTTTTCACTCGTATGTTACAGTAGTGAGTCCAATCATTTCAAAGAAAAGTTAGACAAAAGAAAAAATATAATTACGTTATTATGAATGGATGAATATGAGCCGAGTCATAAGTAGACGGATTATTACTGTACATAAATTCACTTAGTTATTTAATCAGTAATACGTACACACTCATATTGCTGACATGAAAGTTGTTAGGTAATTATAAGATTTCTAATTCTAATGGCACAGTAATGTACTTTAATGTTCCTGTTAAACGAGAGCTGCGTCCACGAATATTTATAGTTTTTATATAAAATTTAGTATAATTTGTTTTTACATTACGAAAATAAAATACATATCACTCTTCAACGTCACTAATACTACTTAACAGGCACTGTGCGATGAAGATTATAGCCTTCTACTTATCTCAAGACTTTAAATAAATTCAAATAAGTAATGATTCTTAGTTATACATTTATAAAGGATTACACGTATTATATTACTTAAAAATCATTTAAATGAACTTAACATACTACAAAATAAATATTCAGCGTGGCTCTCGAATGTTACATAATTTCATGCTTTGTTTGCTTTAGCTGAATACATATCATCAATGTTGAGTAGATCACCTGATTATAATTATTTCATTCAATAAATGGTTATTTTCTGGACATGCAATACAATAAGTCACCAGTGACGTAATCTTTATAAAAATTGTATCATGTCATGACGACAACAAACCTATTTTCATTGATGAACGCATTATTAATGACATCAATGACGTAGGCACATTTGTGCGACATTGTAACCAGTACAGTCTGTAGCATAAACTACGGTATCAGAAGGGAAAAAATGTCGTTAAGAAAAATCGTAACCACTCATTTCTGTCGATGATATCTACCCAGCAGTCAGCAGAAACATAATAAAAATATCTGTTGTAATATGACATGGTTTACTGCATTTAATTTGACAAAGGCGCACTTGTAACATCAAAAATCACTCTTGAAGTCTACCCTTTAGTATAATATCAGAGTCATCGAATCAGTTTAAATATATCAGAGTATAAAATAACCCAAGACGAAAACCACGAGGTTGCCTCTCAATACTCTAAGACAACATTGATATAAAGTTGTTTCTTAAGTGTACTCAGAATTAAATTGAGCAGGACCTATTATAGCTAAATTTACACTAATTCAACTTTGTTGGCGGACATGTAGAAGAGTAGTACACGACTATTTTATACAATTCCATTAATGATAATATTACATCAGAAGTCAGTCCCTTACCATCGTTTAACTGTCCTTATAATACATACCCCATACTTCAACTTAATTGCAGTAAACTACCACTATGTTAATCTCAAGCCTGCAACGCGCGAGGGCGCCGCGACTCCGCTACTGCGACTACTATTACGAAACGCCCTTCCTCATCATAATTCATAAAATACTCATTACAAAAATACTGTACAATTACAATAATTATCTGAAGGTAATAAACTCTTACCAATATAAATCGTACGCAGTTAATTAACGCTCTCATTAAACCTACGCCCGAGCTTCCGTCAATAATACACCATTCACAAAATATGTACAATGTCTTATTTAATATGTACATGTTACATAAACACACATCCAAATTTGATCCCAAAACTGTAGTCTTTACCTCGTTTTATTTTCTAAATTAAATAATGAGATCGAACATAAACATTATGGAATTTTGCAATTGAGTAAGGAATAGGAGTTTGTCTTCAAGCTTTTATTGTATATCATAAATTGTATAAAACTAGTAGTACATTATCATCATACATTTTAGTAAATTTGGACGAAGCCTGAACTTTTCTGTGTAATACTTTTTAATACATTCATTATAAATATGTTCATAATATCTTTGTTTGTTTCAAGGCACTGATTGCTAACAATTGATAACTGTTTTTGTTTAGTTTGTCCTAGAATCTTATCCTAAATTAATAGCCAATATTAAAATATTTAACTCGCAGTACAAATTTAGTATGAAAATACACACATGGCTCTGCATACAAACATCTATACTAAAATATAATATTTCAGTGTAATATACATTAGTTTGTAAATAGATTTCCAGACAAATGACTGTCAGAAACCGCGATCTATACAAAAATATTTTTTGCGAGCTTGCAAAAAGATATTTGCATAATAAAGAATATATAAAATAATCGCTTCACGATTATGAACATCGGGTTAGGTGGGATGTAGTTTTTGGACTTTAAACCGCGCCAATCGTTCATTGTAACAATGGAATGTTAATAGGACACCGTTCAACAATAACAATACCACAAGTTTTCTGTTCGAACTTGGTACATAGTACAAAATGTAAATATGTAACATATTGCAGTGTTTAAACTACCTTAATAATCTTTGATTAATCGGCATTCACAGTACACTTACCGAGAGGAAATGTAAAGTTCAGTGCGCCCGCTAGTGTGTGTGTGTTCAGTCTCACGTTGCCGCCTCAGTGCTTCGACAAGTTCAGTGGCAAATCTGAAAGTACAAGAACGGGAATTTAAATCACCTACAGATAAGAGGTCGACCGACAAACGCGATATCGATGAGAAAAAAATAATTATAAATCGTTAGGTACATTCCAAGGAATACGATTATACAAACATATTGCAAAAATATTAACCTGAAGTGGGCTCATCCTTGGGTATGTGGTCGGTGAAGAGCGGATGAGCCAGCGGCACCCAGGGCCCGGGCGGCGCGGCCGGCACGCCGTAGTGCACCCACGGCGCGCGGTACAGCGGCGCGTAGCCGTACGGGTAGTAGCACGCCTCGCGCCACTCCTCGCGCGCGCGGTACCCGCCCCACTGCCGCGCGCCGAACGGCGACGCCGGCGCGCCGTAGCCCCGGTAGCGCGCCAGCTCCGGCGGCGGCGACTCGCGCGCCGGCCCCGCGCCCGGCGACGCCATCAGCGCCGAGTACCGGTGGCGGTAGCCGTCCGGGCTCGGGCTCAGGTCCGGCGAGCGCACGCTGCTCGGCGACTCCGTCTTCAGCGACGGCGGCTGCGAGTGCGGCGAGCGGCGCGGGCCGTCGTCGGGCATGCTGAGCAGCGACTGGATGCTGTAGCTGCCGACGTGCTTGCCGGCGGGCGGCGCGTCCCGGCGCGGCTCGGGCGCGCGCTGCGGCGCGTGCGAGGGCCCCGGCGACGGCGGGTACGACGCCGTGCTGAGCGCCGGCACGGTCTTGGCGCGCCGCTTGGTGCCCTGGTCCTCCAGCGTCACGCGCTCCAGCTCGCGCAGGATGCGCTTGCGCGGCGACACCATCGCGTGCTCCTGGCGGCAGCTGGCCAGCTTCGCGTTGACGGGCGCCGGCAGCGCCGCGATCCGCTCGCGGAGCTTGTCCACCGTCCGCGCGAGCTCCTTCCTTCGGATCTGCGGGCGCGTCTTCTTGTAGACTCGTAACTTTCGATACTGGTACGGCTTCTTCAGCTTCATGTGATAATACTTCTCCCGGTCGTAGTCGGGCCACCGGTCGTCCTCGGCGCTCGCCCTGGGCCTGGGCGGCGCGCCGTCGACGGCGTCGTCGCCCGCGGTGCGGGTGTCCGGCGAGGCGTCGCCGTTCCTCGCGTCGGCGCCGCCGTTGGCGAGCGCGCGGCGGGCGGCGTCGGCGGGCGCGTCGAGGCCGGCGGGGTCGTGCGGCCGCCTCCGCTTGCGGCGGCCGACGGCGTCGATGGCGGCGTTGGGCAGGGAGGCGGGCCTGCAGTAGTACATGGCTAGCTCTTTGGAGACGTTGCGGCGCGGCGCGGGCTGCTTCCAGGCGTGGTCGCGCTGCCAGGGCGAGGAGTGCACGGAGGAGTTGTCGTCGGAGGCGCTGAGCGAGGCGGGCGGGCGCGCGGGCGGCGTGGGCGGCGCGGCGGCGGGCGGCCAGAAGGTCTTGCGCGGCACCGACACCCAGCCCGCGCGCTCGCCCGACCGCGCCGCGCCGCGCACCAGCTCCAGGATGAACTTGCCATCTGGAACCACCCAATGATTGCTGTTTAGTTTATTGTACTGAAGAAAAAAATTACAGGTTTATGTGATAACACCTAACCTCAGTGATATTTTGCCCAAGAAGTACCATGCCAAACCGGTATGTGACCATGGCCACATTTACTCCCTTGTTTAAAATATGGGAGTTTAAGTATTATAATCCAAATTAACCTCTTTAAAAGGCATTGAATATGCTTAAAATTTGAACAATTTTTCATACATTAGGTATACATTTTGTCAGGACAGGATTTCACTGTGTTATCTTTTTCTCTTGGGAGAATCTAGTTGTCTTTCCATATTTAAATAAGTATTAATAAATGTTTCCAAAATAATCAAAAGCAAACATTTACATTGTCAAGAAAAATACACTATTTAACCAATCTTTTCTATCAGTTATCTGTGCAAGCAAGCAGTCTCATTAAGGACATTGTGTGCTATTGACATTCATTAGCTCATTATTATTGGTCTTCATATCAAATAACAGACACTTGTCTTAAATGTTTGCTCACTGAGTTATGGAATGTGCTAACTGTTATCATTTGAGCTGGTGCATGGTACCAGACAAGGTATTATAGAATATAGATAAATAATATTATGTTTAGTATGCACTGCCTACTCATGCAGCAGTAAGTAATAAACAACTTTTGTTTGTTGTAATAATTATGGAGTATCGGCTTGAGCCTTGAAGTTAAAAATACATGTTTTTCATGTATCCCCATGATCAAAGAGCCTTGAGCTTGCATATGCGTGAGACAAAAAAATACTAGGTATATTGTAAGACTAGTATTTAAGTCAATATTATGCATATTTGTTTTTGTATTTTACCTAGAAAGTACATTTTTCACTAGCTTCATTTTATAGTCAATTGGGATGGATTTGTATCCAGTGCTGTGTGAAATGTTTGAATGTAATCTAAATCTATAGTAAATTATACTAAAGTAACATAAATAAGTAGTTTTTTCAAACTTTCTTGTGTTTTTTATTCCTTCTGTACCAAGTAAGGTATTATTTAATAAAATGTATTTTACCTATATTGGTTTTTAATGGCTTATCCATTGGCATATGATTACTATCAGTGCTCATGAGTTAGTAGGGCACCAGACCATTCTTCACGTCACACCGTGAGTGTGAGCTATAAACGATGTGTCGATTCAAAACACTATGTTTCCATAGTGTTTTGAATATTGCGCACATCTTTCATAAGGGTCTTGACCTTGCAATTTGATTGGATGGTGTTGTTTATTTTTAATGAATCTATGATGATAATGATGACCCAAAGCAAATCTTTTAACATGTTTCAAACCAATCAGTCACACAGTAATAGGACCTATTAGTAACACAAATTACATACAGATTAGGTACTATAATTTTAGTATGTTGTATGTTTTGTAAACATTTCTACACTTTTTGTTATAGAGGAATGGTATCTTTTGCTCATTTTATGGGCCATATTATTTTTTAATCTGGATCAAACAACAATCAAATCTGTCTTCGGAGTCAATATTAATAATCCAATAAATAAAGTAATAGAGTTGCTTAGGTCAGCTGATCTGTGCTCCTGATTATTTGAAATGCTTTACAAAACAAGTTACAGGAAACTTTTTGTATTAGGATATAGATTATTTCTGAACATAAAAATAGAATAATCTCTGAAGAGTCAAAATTAATTAATTTTTGAGTCTTGAACTCTTCTAAGATGGTTGAAAATTAATTAGGAAAGATATGCACAAATTTTTATTTACACTAGAGTGCACACAGCCTCTTACGAAACACAACAATAGCAGAGCCTGCATGCAGACAATTGGCAATGGCTCACTCAAATGTGCTGTGTATGCTTATCAGAGCATGAATGACTTTCTAGCTTTTCTCAAAGTAACTTTTTACACAAGGCAAGTTATGGTGATGCAGCTGTTTATAGGCTGAGGGAATGTTGGGTACTGACCTTTGAAGAACTTGAGCCGCCCACCAGTCGCGGAGAGAGCAGAATTCTGCGCCGCAGCATCCTCATTCACACCCTTGCTACTACTGTTACCATTTACGCCATGTCTTCTGTCTACTTCTTCTGTCATTTTGGTACATGTTGTCAGAGTTGTGATTGTTCCTTCCTGTATATGCATTTCATTTCTGACCGCTCATACAGCAAACGAGCACTTTAGTCCGAACACTCTCGCCATGTCGAACCGAGCGCAGAGGACGACAACTCGGTAATAAATCGCAGATCCAGATAGACATTCAATACTTCCGTCAAAGTCCTCATCCTAAGGCCACCTGCGGATTACAAGATCGTCCAAAACTTTCGTATATACACATTACCGACACGGTGACTACTGAATTGAACAAATATATGAGTCGATTTGGTTTACGACGGCACTTCACCTTGGACACTGACTAAATAACTACAAAACAATACGCGACGCCGGATTCCCGATTATAATCGGGCCCACGACACAATTCAATAAAAAGCTGTTCGTTTTTCAGCACATAGTTCATTCACACCCAGCATCCATTTTGATTCGTTCAAAATCAAATATGATCGTTCTTTTTGTGAAATCGGAATGCGTTGTTAAATGCGTTTTGTTATTGCTATCTACAACCAGGTGATAAGACTTTTTAAATAAATCTTTTGTTCTACTTTTTTGTTATATTTCAAAAACCTAAAATATTATCTACAATTTAATGATCTTTTCCTTTCAATATTTTTTTACAAAGTATTGATTAGTTTTTGGTCGTATTGATTTTACATTTACATCAAAAGATTTGAAATGAAGATATAGGTTGGATATAGATCGCGCAGCAAGAGTTGAGGCAAGCAAAGATTTGAATCTAAAATCTGCTTCGTGTGTATTTTTATGATGGCTTACAAGTCTTACAACCCTAAACTTTCATTTATATTTTAATAGGGGCCTTTGTTTATTTTCAAAAGAGATAATAAATATTAATGTTTCAGGCGCCTTTGGCACGCGCGCCGCTTTTGATATGGGCTGGCTGGCGGCTAAAAGGTTAAAGCTAGAAAAAGTAAAACACAAACGAAAAGATAAGGCCAAAAGATATTTGTCCAAAGTTATAAAATATATAATAAAAAAATTATTGCAACATGGCGTCGTAACCATAGACAATCATTCTGACAGTCTATGATCATTCATATATGGCTATCTCTGTCTAAATTCCCATGTACAAAAGAGATGGCATGAGAGGGATTAATGAATTCTTGTGAAAGTTTGTTTGCTGTCATTCATTTCATTCGTTTGCCTCGCTTGCAGAATATTGTTTTGCACGCGTGGGTACCTTTTTACTTTATTTCCGGGAGCAGCAGTGAAAATACTTAGATTTTTGTAAAGATGACGGCATCAGAGGTTTCTATAAATCGGAAGATAATATCAGAAGATTTGTCGAACGTAGAGTTCGATACAAGTGAGGATGTGGAAGTTATCCCAACCTTCGATTCAATGGGATTGCGGGACGAGTTACTGCGAGGAATCTACACCTATGGTATGTTTATTTCAGTCAGAAGTTCTACTTATAGGGATTCTAGCGAAATAGCCTATATTTTGTCATGGGGCAATTATAACAACTGACTGTTTTTTGCAGGATTTGAAAAGCCGTCTGCAATCCAGCAAAGAAGTATCTTGCCTATCGTGAAGGGTAGAGATGTGATAGCACAAGCTCAATCTGGTACTGGTAAAACTGCCACGTTCTCTATTTCTATACTTCAATCGTTGGATACGACTTTACGTGAGACGCAAGTGTTGGTGCTTTCACCAACCCGCGAGTTGGCTACGCAGATCCAGAAAGTGATCCTTGCGTTGGGCGACTTCATGAACGTGCAGTGCCATGCTTGCATCGGCGGCACCAACCTTGGGGAAGACATAAGGAAACTGGATTATGGACAACATGTTGTTTCTGGCACACCTGGAAGAGTCTTTGGTAAGTAAACATCAATTCCTTATAACTAACCCGTTCATTTTTGTAGGTTTATTCTATTATACCGTTGGTTTAGTTTAGATAATAATAATATTTTTTTAATGGTAATGGTGGTGTTGAAATGCATAAACAGTAAATACCTTATCAACAAATTATAAAATGCCACACAGCAATTAATGGTAATCAAAATTTCACACAGTGACAAGTGATGTTATGTGCTATTTAAAACTACCTCACAATAATTTGTGATATAAAAAATAGTACATAATGAAGTGTAGTATTTTAGAAGTGAAAGTATTATTTTAGTGCATCATTTTTTAACCCTTTTCTTGGCATTGTGCATTTAAAGATACGTTGACCAAAACAAAAATATGGGCGAGAAACCAAAAACTATTTTTAATTGTTTTTTTAATATAACATTAGCCCAAATACTACAGATTGTGTTACACAGTATAGAATCGCTACAGGCTGCACAGATTTATCAGTAATATAGAAAATGTCAGACCATTGACAGGCGTCTACGCACCGGCTGATAATTTTAATTATTTTCGGTGTTTTTTTTAAAGAATATTGGTGATTATTTGTAGTAATATGGATAGTAAATAAAGGTTTCTTGATGATAGTGCTGTTTTTTCATCCCAAAACTTGTATAATTATTCTTGTACGTTGCGGATTGTCCGAATGTATCTCTAAATGCACACTGTCAGATACGTAATAATTTACTTTCAATTTTGAATGTATCTTTAAAGACACATTGCCAGGTGCTCGTTGACATTATTTTATGATTTTTTTCATAGATTTTATCACATAAAAAAGGGATCATGTTATTAGTTAGTAATATTTAAAGCTGTAAATTATATGCCGATGTGAGTTTTAATTCATGTAATAATGAATGTCGTTTTTTGGACAACTTTGTGCTGCAGCAACAAAATCAGGCGCGCAAAATGCTAGTTCTGGTTCCAAAATCTGGAACCAGGTCGAAAGTTAGTGGCGGTTACACTTCAGCTGATGAATTAGAAGCCGCACTTAGCCTCCTGATTCTCTTGGGTGGTTATCTTCCTACTCCAAACAACCCAGATCACCCCCAAAAAGCGAGCAGCCTATCCAGGCTGCTGCATGCTTCTGGTTATAAAGCTGGTGATTGAAGAATTTCAGCCAGTTCGACTGCTGCATAGTTTCCCAGAGAGTTCCAGAGATCCATTTCCGCTATCTTGCGTTTCCACTGTAAGTTGGTGGGTATAAAATTATCTTCAATCGAAGACGTGAAGACAGTTCGGTACCAGTTGGCGTCAATACCCCTCGTATTTTTTAATGCTCTTGCAGAATTCCTATGTGTCCTATCTGCATTTGCTTCTCCAGGATGGTAAGAGGGGTGTGAGGTTCAGGAGGTACTCCAACGACGCTGATGGATTGGTTCTCATACATCCAAATGCAGCTATACTTGCAAGGCGTTACAGACTTTGAAGTGGGTTTTTTACTTTGTTTTCAGTTTTTTGTAAAAGATACTTATTTTTTATTTCTCAAATAAGGAATAGCTTAAGGTTTTGTAGTAATTTTCATTTAAATAACTAATTTTTACTAACAAATAAACCATTTTTTAAATTACTACAAAGCTGGCAATGTGCACTTAAAGATACATACTATATTTCCAAAACTACATACCTAAGATTTTTTTTCGTATTTTTTGCATGATTTTTACTCGTCCTAAATCCAATATTTATAGTCTAAATCACAAATATTAACCAAAACCGTCTTTGCCAAGTATAGGGTTAATTATTAACATACAATAACAAGGTCTTGTTGTGTAATCAGCATCATGAATTATATATTTTTTCCAGATATGATCAAGAGGCGTGTATTGAGGACCAGAGCAATCAAAATGCTAGTTCTTGACGAAGCTGATGAGATGTTGAACAAAGGATTTAAAGAACAAATCTATGACGTGTACCGCTACTTACCGCCTGCAACCCAGGTTGTGCTCATTTCTGCTACATTGCCCCATGAGATTCTTGAAATGACATCAAAGTTCATGACAGACCCCATAAGGATTTTGGTTAAACGGTAAGTTGCAGTTTTAATTTCAACAGTAATATAAAATCAAAATCAAAAATATTTATTCAGTTTAGACCACAAGTGGCACTTATGAACGTGTAACGTATAATGCTATCTACTACTGAGTTTCTCTTTAGTTAAATAATGTGTGTTTAATATTGCGTCTTCTTTTTTGTAGTGATGAATTGACTCTTGAAGGAATAAAGCAATTCTTCGTAGCTGTGGAGAGAGAGGAATGGAAATTTGACACTCTTTGTGACTTGTATGACACCCTTACCATTACCCAGGCTGTTATTTTCTGCAATACAAAGAGGAAAGTGGACTGGCTCACACAAAAGATGCAAGAAGCCAATTTCACTGTAAGCTCTATGCACGGTGATATGCCTCAGAAAGAAAGAGACAACATTATGAAAGAGTTTCGCTCTGGACAAAGGTATGCTGTTCTAACAGATAAAACTTTTATGAGTATAGGCCTCTATTTCCATGCTAGCTTATGTTTAATACATTATTGCATTGAAACTGAATTGTTTTTTAGTATATTTATTTTTGTTTCAGCCGTGTTTTGATTACAACAGATGTATGGGCCAGAGGCATTGATGTTCAGCAAGTATCCCTTGTAATCAACTATGACCTACCAAACAACCGTGAATTGTACATTCATAGGATTGGTCGTTCAGGACGATTCGGACGTAAAGGTGTTGCAATAAACTTTGTCAAGTCTGATGACATCAGAATCTTAAGAGATATTGAACAGTACTATTCAACTCAGATAGATGAAATGCCCATGAATGTGGCAGATTTAATTTAATATGTTTAACCAACCAGACCTTGAAAATTATTCCTGGTTCTATGCTGGAAATGCACTGCGGTGAATGGATAACATCTAACGTTTTTACAACTCAAATATTTTCATTGCTAATTATGTGATGACTATGCAAAATTCACTGTTGATTTCTTTTACACTGGCACCTTGGTGAAAGATGAGGAATAAGCTTTGTATTTTATAATATTAGTATAGTATAAACATTAACAGCAACTTGCTGTATTGTGTAACTAGATTTAACTTGATTTTAATGTCGTAATATAATATTCACTTGTAATTATGGTGTTTCATTTTTTTATTCAAATGTTGCATCACCCTAGATCCACACATTAACATAACACTGTTTTTGAACTATTGTGTACCTCTATGTAGTACATACTCGCTTGGAACACAAACACACTAGAAAAGGTTGGATTTAACTTCATCTACTAGCTAGGCTATTATTACATTTGCAATGTTACACGAAAACAATGAACGGAATTTGATAAAACTATCATGTTATTTGTTATAACATGAGAATCACACTTGGATGTTTATTTGGATAACTTCAATTTTTTTTAATCCTTTAAAAACCATCTACATGATTAGATGGTTTTGCATGATTTGATGGCAGGTGAAACGAGTAGAGTAATATAGAAATCCAGTCAGCCTCAGATTTATTAAGAGTTTTACCTAGTGTTTATTATTATACTATTAAAAGTTGATTTTTCACATTGCTAACTGATGAGTCACTACACATTTCATCATACTTACCATTTCATTTATGTATATTTTGTCTAAATTAAGGCAGGGTATTAATTAAAGTCTAATCGCTGATAATTTACAAATTTTATTTAATTCCAATAAAACTTGTGATATCGCCATTTAAGCACATCATACTACAATTTTATACAAGGTACATTCATCTTAATACTAAAGATTTAAATATAGTGCTACACTTAAAACTAATTATCTAGAATAAAACACTGATAGTCAAATTGTTAGTAGTGTAAACAGTACATTTTCAAAGCTAAAATACTTTGATTTACAACATTTGTCTAAAAAGTGGAATGTCTGTATAAATACAGGTTTAACCACAGCAGGGGTTGCTAACATTTTCTAGAAAAGGGACCTCGCCTTCCTTTTTCTGTTTTCAGAGGTGATACAGGATACAGACATCAAATTACCAATATAGAGATCCTTAAATAAGAGCTGTTATTTAATAAATTATGTTGAGATGATAAATATTTTTTAAAATAATTATTTGTAGAACTATCCACAGTTGAATAAGAAATAAGTTCTGTATATAAGTTATATACGAATGTTATGATAATTATCTTGTGAACAAAGTAGAATAAATTTTGAATGTAAATCACAGACTTCTTCTTTGGACATAATAAATAAAATCATATAACAACATTCATCATCATAATATTTACATTGTTTGCACATGTTAGACACAAACTAAATCAAATTGTTAATTAAAAAAATATGTGTAACGTTGCATAAATTTTAAACAAAATATTTACAAAGTAAAGTTTTTTTAATACATAGAAGTTTAAAATTTTACCATTACATACATCTTTGATATATGCATAACCCCATACAATGCTTTAGTTATTCACATCATTCAATTCATTACCATAAACCTATCTAATGTATGATTAATATTTAATGGATTTTAATGAATGTTTGATAATACAAATAGATAGATTAAACTTTCATAAAAAGTACTATTTTCTAATCCGTGTAAGGTAAATATTGAGGTATTATTTTTTATAATAAATTCCTAAAGTGTACACAAATATTATGGGCTATTGATTCGCAAGGACCTTATTAGTTAATAATTTTCAATAACAAGTAGAGAAATAAATTACATAAAGCCATAATACATGTCAAAGAATATTTATAAATTAGAAAAAGTAAGCCTTACTTTTCTAACTCTACTCAAATTAATTAGTTATTAAGTGTGCTTGAGTGAATGGAAATGACAAAAATACTCTTCAAAGATTTTACATAACTCCAATCAATGTTAAAAAATTTGTAAAACATTTCAAAATTTCAAGGGATCTTTTCAAGTTGTATAGGCCTTGACAATGATGAATGTTATAAGTGGAATGAAAATTACAGTTCGGTATCTGTTGACACATTGTAGGCGTTCCAGCGCCTAAAAACAAAAACTCCTAGAACTCCAAAAAGTAGAACCAATATTATTTCTGTCAGCTGATCCAGGAAGCCTGAGCTTGACTCTGCTGAGTCCAGCACAGCGGGAGGCACCTCCGCTGCGGCCGGTGCAGCTGGGGGTTTTGCAGCTTGCTCCTCTTCACCTTTGAATGCTATCTGATTCAGTGCAGATTGTTCCTCTTCTGTGATAGGCTTAGCTGCTGTAGCAGACAAGAGTGCAGCTGCCACTCCACATTCAGGACAAGACCATGTTCGTGACTTTATGGCCAAAGCCCTGCGCTCAGCGGGAGTGTAGTCCAGGGCCCCTATGGTGCCTTCTGAAGGAGAAGGCATGAATGCAATCAAAGCCAATAAAGCTGTTCTGATGGACCATGATGGTTGCCATGTCTCTGGATGATGTCCGGAAATGGACAAACATATTTTCTTGTTTGTATCGAACCTGCCATTGGGCGTTAAAAGTATGATATGTGGTGGATGCATAGGATATTCTTTGGGCAATAATATTCTCCCATGGTAGATACCTCCTTCAAAGTCAGTGCCCTTCGGGCCCTGAACTGTGAAGTGCCACTCGAAAAGATTGTCCTCGAGAGGACGAGCACAATATTCCTCTGTAGCCTCGGCCAACTCGATGGCCTCCCTCATAAGCCTCTTCACACCAGGACATTTCGTGTTGTACTTTTCGCCCATGTCTGCCATATTCTAGAAAATGTAGAACAAGTATAGGCTGCTAATACTCCGACGCAAGCGTTGACGCAACGAACCACTAAAGTAACACGTAAGTTTTGATGTAATCACAGTAAAATTTGATAACAAAACCTGCTGCAAAGCTACTATAGACCAAAGAGTTGTCAAATGAATGACAAAATCTGACAAATCCCACAGACAACCATTTTCATGATTGTCTATGGTCACTATAAATCAATAGCAATATAAATCAATATCCAAGATATGATAAAAGAATGAAGAAAGAAAGAATGATAGGCGATACGATTTTACTAAGTTGTTTTGGTAACTTTAGTTCAGTAAAAGTAACTTTTGTATCACAGTTTTAGATATTATGAGACTTCGAGAATAGTTTTATGAAGATTATTAAGATTTGACACAGCAACAAGAATAAATCTTACCAGTATTTTTTTTTTTTGCCTAGATGGTCATAAATCTTCTCCATAAGTTTGACATGGTCTTTTCTTCATCAAAGAATACTCATATAACTCTCTGTCGTGCATATTACGTTGGATGAAATGTCAAGTCCCCTAAGCCGAAAATCTAATAAAAAAAACACCAGCTGACACCTCCATAAAAAAAAAGTGTCAATTGCTGACCTGTCAAACAAAAGTGCTCGTTCGTTTCGTTCGCGTCCATCGGCTTTTATTTGTTTAATTTTCAATCTTTCCTATAATTACACTATCGTAATTTTGCTTGCATCTTCTGAAATTAAATCTCGTTGGTTTGAGTTGCTACCGAGTTACAAAGGTTTGTATTTTAATAATATTTATTTTTCCTAACCTTTTTCGGACAGTCAATTTTCACCCTGAAACCTTAAATGGCCGTGTATCACCACTAATATTGATGTAATTTAAACTAATAAGTCTATAAAGCATTATCTACTAACCATAACACCATATCCATTTGCTCTAAGACCATCCACGACGTTCCTCTGTATACTAACCAACACACAAGTCGAGCTACTTTGAGCTTTATGTTAATGTGGTATTTTATGCTCAATTTATTCTGCACAGCTATAGGAGCTGTAAAAATTGTTGTAAATAAAAAAGGGCAAATAGAGACAATAATCTAGTGCTTACCTTAAAGGAGTTTGACTGTTGTTTGTCTATTGATAATTACTGAGTTGTTGATATTTAAGAATATTTCTTTGCTCTATGTTATATTCATTAATATCCGTTTCATTTCAACAGACATTCCTTAATAATGGATGGCCCTCCAGGAACAGGGCCTCCTACTATGCCTCCTCCAGGAATGGGCCCACCTCCTGGTATGATGGGAATGGGTCCCCCTCCCCCTGGTATGGGTCCTCCTCCACCTGGAATGGGCCCCCCTCCACCTGGTATGGGTCCTCCACCGCCTGGCATGGGACCTCCTCCACCTGGTATGGGCCCTCCCGGAATTAATATGGGCCCCCCAATGGGACCTCCTGGGATGCCACCAAGAATGCCTCCAAATATGATGAGGGGAGGCCCAAAGGGGAATTTCAATAGTCCAATGGATATGGGCCCACCTGGCATGGGTCCTCCACCAAATATGCCGATGGGTCATGGGCCCTGGGAAGGCCAGGGACCACCAGGTTGGTCCAGGCCGGGCGGGAGAGAGGGTCCTCCTGGATGGGAAGACCATGGAGATGAGGGTGATGAAAATGAGCCTGCAAGTGAGGACCAGGTGCCCCCGCCAGTTCATCCGCCAGGCCACCCACCAGCCCTGCCTTCCCTGCTGACCATGAAGATAGACACCCCCGAGGAATTCAGAAATAAGCCAGCACCGGTTGGTGGAGTGGTGCTGCCCAAGGCTTTAGAAGAGGCTCTTGCATACAAAGACCAGCGACAGGCTGCTCTCGGTGATGAAACAGAACAACAACCAAAAGGTTAGCGCAGCTTATTAGAATTGTAATATGTATATTGTTTACTATAATACTGTTTACACAATTGACATTGATTGTTGCAATTTACATTGAGGGTGAGCATCATAAAACACAATGTTAAAAACAAATCAAGACTTTTGTTCAGAAATCAGTGGGTGTAGAGCTGACAAGAGCTAGAGAGCTAGACAAAGTGTACATTGTCTAAATAATTTTTAACTATGTGTTCCAGAAGACAAGAATCCTCCTGAAGCTCCTCCAGCTCCTGTGATAAGTGCGGAATATAATGCCGAGGAGGATGAAGGGGATTCCGATGAAGAAGCCATTCCGGAGGCCCCACAGCCTCCCATCATATCTAAACCAGAGGTAGAAATTGCGATTTAAGTCTTTAAGTTCTTATAAATAGCAGTTTTATAAAAATGTTCTAGCAAATGCATACTTGCACCATTCTCAACCAAATTCATCTAATCAGTATAATGCCATGTGGGGTTGTTTGTGTGGTGTTTATTTGTTTATATTTTGATTTAAATAGTGTTTTTTTTTTCTATACATTTGCAATCAATCACAAAAATGTTTTACAAGTTTATTAACACTAACCTTGTAAGGTAATAGAACTAGATTTTCAATGGTATTGTAATTTTTTTATCGTTTTATTTTCTAGGCATCCAAAGCAACTAAGAATAAACGCAAGAAGAAAAAGAAAAAAGAAGCAAAGCAAAAACGTAAGGAGGAAGCCAAAAAGAACTTAGATAATAAAGATGACATCAAAAAGCTGAGTGACAAAGAAAATGAGAAAGAGGCTGAAATTGAGTGAGTACCATAGTTTTTTTTACATGAGTCTTAACTGCATAATATTTATCACAGTGGCAGTTAAACTTTCATAATAGTATAGGACTACCTATTCATACTGTATGACAGACATAACTCACTCGTGCAAAAAAGCAAAGGTCCACTTATACTTATTCTGACCATGCATATGTATTGATTGAGTTTGATGATAGACCCCATCTCAGATCACATGGCATGTGCAAAAAAGCAAAGGTTAACTTATACTTATTCTGACCATGCATATGTCGTATTGATTGAGTTTGATGATAGACCCCATCTCAGATCACAATTTTTGGTAAAATATTTTTTGCTGCATAATAATTATTATCTGTAACATATTTTTATTTTCTGCTGAATGTCTCCTGCATTCTTTTTCCTAACATATTTGATTAAAAAAATATACCCTAATTTGTCTGTTCCTCTCAGATATGTGCAAGAAAACATCCAGTTCCATGAACTGGAGCCCATGTACCGTCAGTTCCACCGAGTGCTTGAAGCGTTCAAGATCACGGAGAAGAAAGAGGATATCCTAATGGACGACCTAAAGGATGCACCAAAGCCGTCCAAACCACAGGAGAAAGTCCAGGACCAGTTTGCTGCAGATGAAGAAGCAGCTGAGGTAGGTTCTTGATTATTTTTCTACCGCGATCGTGAGATACTAGAGGTTCATAGGCAAATCGCGCGACTACATTTTTGAAATTCGAAACACGCGTGTAAAAACGCGTCACCTCACCCCACCTCACCTCACCGGGCCGGCTTTTAACTTTTGTTGCGTCTAAACAAGAAAATATATCGACAGTCCTCTTTTGTTTATGTTTTCTTTTAGCCTAGGCGCAGACCACCGACTTTTAGTTGGCCGGTAGTTGGGTCGGGCTGATAAATCAGTACGGAGATGTATGAAAGTACGCACATTACACCAATTTGGTATCGGCCGATTCTTCGTACAAATTAGAATCGGGTCCAACTATCGGTCAACTAAAAGTCAGTGGTCTGCGCCTTGGCTTTCACGCGAAAGGCGGGGCTATATTTGTCCATGTTGCAACACGGCAACAGCAACATGCTTATGGTTGCGGATGCGCTAAAGACTTTCTGTTGATGACAAAAATGATTCAAAGTTATCTCCTGTCTCTACATTGATCTTTATCTTGCAGAAAAACGCAGCGGACGAAAAAGAGCGTCTATCGAAGCGTAAACTCAAGAAGCTCTCTCGTCTATCAGTAGCAGAACTGAAGCAATTGGTATCGCGGCCAGACGTGGTGGAAATGTATGACGTCACGGCGCGCGACCCGCGCCTGCTGGTGCAACTCAAGGCGCACCGCAACACCGTGCAGGTGCCGCGCCACTGGTGCTACAAACGGAAGGTAACTTTATTGTGAGGATACAAAGCTCAAAATCGATTGGTGACATTGGACGTTTTAATGTAGACTGATGGAGACGTCATATCAATGTATGGTGTTTTAATATCGTGCGGATTTCATCACGGACGCGGGATTGCCCCTCACGCGTGATACCCGCAAGTGTGCTTTTCATATAAAATAATATTTATTTTCCCGCGTGCGTATTCCACGCATTACTATCCCGTGTCCATGATGAAATCCTCACGATATTAAAAACCGCTCTTAGGTTGTTCTGCTGTTGATAGCAGTCGACAGTACTATTTTAACCCGACTGCGCCAGAAAGAGGGTAAAGGCTTCCACAGACCAAACGCGGGGCAGTAGCAGCGCAGTTTGAATGCGGGCCCGCGCAAGTTGTAATACAAGAAACTCTTTAAAGTGTGTCACACCATATTTGAAATTTTGAACGCGGGCGCGCTACAACCGCGCCGCACTTCAACTGCCGAAATATAAACGAGGCGGCGCGGGTGCGGGACAGAAGCGGCGCGAGTGCGGGCCCGCGCTGTTGTATTACTATGGCGGCCATATTAGCATGACACACCGGACGCAGGACGCGACGGTAGCAGCGCGTTGAAAGCGGTTTTCGAATATTGAAATATTTGACAACCGCCCGCGTTGCAACTGCTTAGAAACTGCGCTGCTTTCAGTGTGCCTCAGCCGCGCTGCAACTAACCCGCACTGCTTCTAACCCGCGTTTGGTCTGTGGAAGCCTTTATGTTTGGAAATACGTTGACGTGCTGTTAATTGACCAATTCACTTACCCCAATTATTATAATCGACTAAGTAGTCGATTATAATAATTGGGGTGCTTACCTCATTATTCTCTACCCCCAGTACTTACAAGGCAAGCGCGGTATAGAGAAGCCGCCGTTCGACCTACCAGAGTTCATCAAGAAGACCGGCATCATGGAGATGCGTGCCTCGCTGCAGGACAAGGAGGAGACCAAGACGCTCAAGGCGAAAATGCGTGAACGAACCCGCCCCAAACTCGGCAAGATCGATATCGATTATCAGAAGCTGCACGATGCGTTCTTCAAGTAAGTGAACTATAGAACGATCATTAGTTCATTATCATCAGGGGGTCTAGACATGGTACCATTCATAACAGTTTAGATTTCTAAATCACTTCAGGGGTTCTAGACAAGGTAACATTAGTAATAGTTTTGATTTCGAAATCATTTCATGGAGCGAAAAAAACATACAAAATATTGTAATATATCATAAGAAATTAACATAAGGGTTTTCCGAAAATTACAAGTTCTTCTACGCCCCATGTATTTAGTCTCCACTGCAGGAGTATAACACTGTCTATTGTCTATACCAGATATATCTATCGTTGGCATCTTGATATTTGAGTTAGTTTTATTTTGTACTGACCTGCCTCAATCAATCTATTCAAACATAATGCCCACCACTTTATCATTATCATTATAATATTATGATAATGATATACCACATTTATTTATTATCTTTTGATTAAGATGTCTGATCACAAAACTGAGTTTGCGATCTTACTTCAGCCAGGTGATATCTGGTCTTGCAGTTTTGTTTCCCATAGGTATAGAATACAGGTCGCATTATTATGATGAACATGTGGATCGAAGATATGAAGGTAAAATTATTATTTTTATTTCTAAAATTCTATCACACGGCACTTCCACCTTTTGTGAAACTAAATTTTTTATCAATAATTTGTACATAAGTCATAAGACCTTGTATCATTTAAAAGCAATTTCTGACCGTAGCCCGTAACAGTGCCCACGGCATTCGGGCCATATTAGCCTGATGTTACTTTTATGTTCTGTTTTGCGCCTTACCTCTCAGTTTATTTTTGTTGTAAGAACAACATCATATCAGGTGTCTCCTCAATAAAGACGATACGGTAGGAAGCCATTGGTCTTGTCTTTGCTGTCATTGAGCCATTCTGTGTGTTAAAATAAAATGGTTTTCTACTATTTAAAGAGTTGAACTCCCTCCATAAAATGTTTACCCCTGTGTAGATGGCAGACCAAGCCGCGCATGACGATCCACGGCGACCTGTACTACGAGGGCAAGGAGTTCGAGACGCGCCTGCGAGAGAAGAAACCCGGAGACTTGTCTGAGGAGCTACGCACTGCGCTTGGTATGCCCGTCGGGCCTGGCTCGCACAAGGTAAAATTCAATAACAAACCTTTATGCTGTACACTTAAAGTTCAAAATTCCATGGAGAATTATGTCAATTTGTCGTAATTCAAGTCTGATATCTCAAATGATCGATTTAATATAAACCTTTTATAAATCTTCATACATAAAGTTCAAAATTCTTTTAGTAATTTTACCGAACTGTCGACTGCATTTACATTATTGTTGCATAGAGAAGTGGGTGTGGCTACACAGGTCTATAATATTATGTGGTTCGAAGTCCGACTGAGGTATACTAAGGCTTTGTTGCACCATCTTACTTTAACTTTGACAAACGTCAAAAATCTGTCAAAATCCATACAAAAAGCACCGGTTATCGTCAAAGTAACGGTCGAAATTAGGTGGTGCAACTCAGCCTAAATCCGTTGACATGAAATTTTGAACAGATTTGACTTTAGTATTATTATTTGTAGCAATAATTGTGATAATAATAGAAAAAAAGGAAAAAGGTCACTACAAATATCATTTGTCATGCAGGTCCCGCCTCCGTGGCTGATCGCCCAGCAGAGGTACGGGCCTCCGCCCTCCTACCCCAACCTGAAGATACCAGGTCTGAACGCGCCGATCCCAGAGGGTTGCGCGTTCGGTTACCACGCTGGTGGTTGGGGCAAACCGCCTGTTGACGAGACTGGCAAGCCGCTGTATGGAGACGTGTTCGGACACCAGAGCAGCGGACACGATGTGAGTCCTTAGCATAGGATCCCAGGTCTTAAGGTGCCGATCTCAGAGAGTTGTGCTTTCGGTTACAACGCTGGTGGCTGGGGCAAGCCGCCTGTCGACGAGACTGGCAAGCCGCTGTATGGAGACGTGTTCGGACACCAAAGCAGCGGACACGATGTGAGTCATTAGCATAAGATCCCAGGTCTTAAGCTGCCGATCTCAGAGGGCCGCGTGTTTGGTTACCACGCTGGTGGTTGGGGCAAGCCACTGGTCGACGAGACCGGCAAGCCGCTGTATGGAGACGTATTCGGACACCAGAGCAGCGGACACGATGTGAGTCCTTAGCATAAGATCCCAGGTCATAACGCGTCGATTCCAGAGGGCTGCGTGTTTGGCTACCTCGCTGGTGATTGGGGCAAGCCGCCTGTCGACGAGACCGGCAAGCCGCTGTATGCGTCTCACATCGTGTCCGCCGCCACCAGAGCAGCGGACACGATGTGAGACGTTAGTATTAGATTCCAGGTCTTAAGGTCCCGATCTCAGAGAGTTGTACTTTCGGTTACCACGCCGGCGGCTGGGGCTAACCACTATACATATAGAGACTAGTTTGTCCAGAGCAGCGGCCACGATGTGAGTCTTTAATATAAGCTTTTCATGTACCAAACTTCTGGAGGCATTCTGCCCCATGTTCCCAAACTAGTTTTAACACCCAAGTGCTCGTCCCACAACAAGATTTAACGTAAAACTCGTCCCTGTGCTAGTTTTTCTCCAAGCAAAGACTAATAATGTGTATTTTTCTTTTTACTAAAATACAACTTGTTTTCTGACAGGATAATGAAGATCAAGATATAGACAGAACGATGTGGGGAGAGTTGGAGTCTGAATCTGAGGAAGAGTCGGAAGAAGGTTAGTAAAATATCAGCATATAAAATGTCGAAGTAGTTCCAAGTTTATTACTGATCCAATTAGGCTATTTGACTGCCTTCTAAAACTATCTAAGAGCCCTAAAGCACACGGCGTATTTAACGCGCAGACGACGGCGAGCTTTTTTCCTGCAAATGTCTATAGATTGGGCCCAACTTTCGCGTCTGTATCGCTATAAATGCGTGTCGATGGCGCGCTTAAATAATGCCGTTGGCATAGGCTTTAACGAGTTCTGAAATATTTTTTTCAAGGCAGCTAAACACTTCTTGGTCGATCGGCTGTTACAATTTGTAGGTATTTAAAGGCTTGTATTAAGTAGTAGGTAACTAAAAACTTAATTTTTCTGGTAAATAAGTGGGCGGGGCTTGTCAAACGTGTCACGTTTTGACAAGTAGTTTCATAGTAAATAAGAGCTACTTTTTCTCTCTAAACACTCGACATTGGCAAAACCTCCAAATTCGCACCATTGAAGCCATTAGACATAATAATAATTAATAAGAGCTACTCATAGAATTTTGGAAATAGACTAAAATTTTGTTATTTACTTATCTACTACGTGTAAATCTGCCTTAACACCTTGTATACTTGATTAAGTATATTTTCTCCCGCAGAGGAATCCGGCGACGAAGGCGAAACCGCGGGCGCGGGCGAGGTAGCAGCAGGCGTGGCCACGCCAGGCGAGGGCCTGGTCACCCCGCTCNCCCCGCTCGGCGTCAGCTCGGTGCCGCCCGGCATGGAGACGCCAGACACCATCGAGCTCCGCAAGAAGAAGCTCGACTCCGACCAGGAGGGGTGAGTGCTC